CATAGCCAGCACACAGAGCTGAGTCCGTAGGCAGGCCCAGGCTGCAGAGGTTGTCCTAAGGGCTCCCTCTACTGCTGCCATCTGTGGGGGCAAAACCCACCCACATGCCCCAAGACAGGGGAGCTAGGCTGGAGCAGAGTCCACAGGCAGCCCCGGCATGGCGGGAGCGCCGTGATGTTCTGATTCCTTTACCAACAAGTGGTGGAGAAGTTTCTGAATAGAAATCATATTTATTACAAGAGGCAGAGTTCCTCCATTTTATGGAGAAAATAAAGCTAATTTGGAGTCAGCCAAGAGTAGGGGAGATAGTGTGTCTGGTGCTCAGGGTGGGCTGGCCCTTCCCAGCACACAGCACAGTCTCCCACCTGGCCGGTGTGCCTCTCCCGGCTGGTCTCCCTCCACTTAGTCCCTGCAACCCCTCCTCCAGCTATAGGGAATGACTTCCTAGTCTCATAGCCCTTGACCATGATCCCCTCCTCTGGCCTCTGATCTGGTCAGTCCCTTGCCTGGGACAGCCTTATCTTAACCTGTCACCCCTTCTTCACCCCTCCTTCTCTTTCTCCACATGTGTAAGCCAGGCTGGTTGTTCAAGGCCCAAATCTTCTTCTTCTCCGGCCCTGTTCCTCCCCTCTCTACCACAGCCTTCCCTGATGTCTGTGGCTCAGTGAACTGCTATTCTCTGATCAGCATGCCAATTTACCTCAACTCCTGAGCATGGCACCCTCCTGGAGGCTGCATTGCATTTCCATTACATCTGCCTACTTCTTCCCCTCTCTGACTATGAGACCCTGGTGTGTCCCCCACCCTGCCCTGCATGTTGTCACAACAAGGCTCAGAAAGAGCATGCTCACTGAAGGATGGGTCCGCGTGCAGCCCCCTTGCATAGAGAAGGTCAGCCTCCTTCTGGGGCTTTGAAGATTCTCTGGCTGGGGAGGTTGACATGGGGAGTAGGGGCAGGCTTCTGGCTTCCAGACTCTTAAGGCCTCTTCTGACTTGGTCCCCCTTGGATAGAAAGTTCTGGTGTGGTAGTTTATGGTTGGGGAAACTTAGCCAAAGAGTGACAGTGCCACAGTGGACAGCGAATACCTCCAAGACAGAAACCATTTCTTACTTACTTTGGTTACCAAGCCCAGTGCTTACCACGGGCTCAGTTAAGAGCTGACCTCAGCCTTAAAGATGCTAAAAGGTAGTGCAGTGCACAGAAATGTGGCCTCCACAAAGTAGGGAGTGGAGGTCACTCCAGGCAGAAGAAAGGCTTGGAGGTGGAAAGGGTTTGGCATCTTTGAAGAAGGGCTGGAAGTTCAGTGTGTGGGAACACAGTGGGTGGGAGTTGGGGGTAGGGTGGGGACAGGAGTGAGAAAGAAAAGGCTGCAGGGAAGCCTTGCTGGAGCAAACTTCTGAGCCAACCCCAGGCCAGGTGGAAGCCAGACCCAGCCTTTGGATATCCCCTTCTCACACAGAAAATCCCTAAAACTCATGTTTGGCGAAAAGCCTCCGGGGATGGCGAGTGGTGGGGGGTGGCGGGGATGAACAATGCTGGCCTCAGACAGTCTGCCACTCAGTTCCCTGATAGCTCAGGTCCCCATGCTTGGGGGCTCGCAGCGTGCTGAGCACTGGACAGAGTTTGGAACTTGAAGAACCCAGAGGCCCATACGTTCTATGGCTGTGTGATCTATGCAGGGAATTATTTTAGGAGTTGAAAAACAATAAACCCAAAGCTAATGCAGCCTCTTTTTGAGTAGTGACTTGGGGGTCAAAGTGGCTGGCTCCTTCCCAGATAGCCTATTCCTAATCACACCTGGTCAAGGCAGGCCCCTGGCTCGAGGGGGACTACTGAGGCCCCAGGACCCGAGGCCCTGGGCCTGCAGACATAACTGGGTTGGAGTGCAGGCCTCCCCATCTCCTATCTGACCCAGTGGAGGACTGGGCTGTGTCTCCTTCACCCCCAGAACTCAGGCCTGTCCACAAATATGAGGATGTTCAGGGAATTGCTGAGTAGGGCAGGACCAGCCCAGGAGAGGCTTGTTGGGGAAGTTAGAGCTGAGCGCTCAACACAGAGTTGGCAGGAAGCACTGGGTAAGCCTGAGCAGGAAGTGCTAATTGCCCTGGGATAGTGGCAAAAGAGTGTGGCCATGGGCAACGCTGTGTACACCCAGCCCACATAGGAACAGGGGTCTGGAGCAGTCTGGCCCAGCCCGGGTCCTGCAGGACATCTCAGGTCCTACAGAACAGACCCAACCCAGCCTGCCTGCTCCTGGAATAGGCTGGGGATCCCCAGATGTGCTCTCCTCTCCCCTTCATATATCTTCGCTCACCCCTGGCTGACAGAAGAAGGTGGCTGGGCCAGAGAGAAGACAACTTAGGAACCGGCAGCTGTTGTCAAAGAGAACTGGAATGGTCTCCCAACAAGCATGTCAGCCATTTGGATACTCTTTCTTCAAATCCTCCCACACCTCTTGTCTCCCTGAGGCAACCCAGCGATGCGACTGTTATTACTGTGCTGATTTTACGGAGGGGGAAACAGGGCCAGGGAGGTGAAGTAAGTAGAGAATCCAGGCAGGACCCAGAGCTTCTGACTCTGCAGCTAGAGCTTCTCCACCAAGGCCATTAGGGCTCTTCCCTTAGTGTCTGGATGCACGGCACAAAAAAAGTCAAGCTGGGGCCATTTCCAATGGGCACAGCTCAGCCAGGGCTAGCATTGAGCATCACTCAGGGCATTTAGGGAGGTTGGGGCCAGGGTCTCCCTCTGACTGTTCAATAGTTTGTTTCTTCCCACAAAGTATTTGCTTGACCACCAATGGTTGTGTGTGCCAGAGATGCTATGGAACATTCTAGAGTGGTTTGGTTCCCTCTGTTGCAATGCTTATAGCTGTCAACCACTGGATACAGCAGGTAGATGGCTGATTCATTGGTTGTAACAAGGACTCTCTGGAAAACTGTTTGCTACCTGCTTACACCTGCTACCCATCCCTCTTCCCCAGGAGTTCTACCTGTGGCAACCTCCTGCAAAAGAAGCTTGGAAGTGATTTCTTCACTCAGTTCAGAGGGCACAGGTTGCAAATAGGCCAATTCTTATATAGTCAGTAAGTCTAGAGGCCCAAACCCTTTCACTGCTCAGACAAGGTGGAACTAGGCAGACATGCTCCCCCTCAGGTAGCCCAGGAGGAGACAGAGAGCTTACAAGATTGAACAACCAGGGTGAGGTCCTGCCACCTGGGACCAGTGGGCCTCAGTCTCTCCACAAATGCCACGCAAATCATTCTCCACTCAAGACTTGATTGCTCCGTGTGCCCACAGGCCTGGCTTGGTGCGACCTGTACTGCCTTTGTCATAGCTGCAACAACATAGCTACCTGTAACCAAACAGCCAGACGCTGTGCTGTCTCTGGAACACAGAACCGCATTGCACAGATGAAAGGACACACTTGTTTTTTCTAAAGCCAGCATGAGCCAGCAGGTGGCACATGGAGATCCAGGGTGCTGCAGAGAAAGCAGTCATGGGGGTGGGGAGGGGGAAGCAACAGGTGACCCTGCCAGACTCCTCCCACCTGCAGAGACACTACCATCACCTACCTGTGTTCCTCTCTGGGAACACAGGCTGCAGCATGGACAACCCAGGGCTCTGAGGAGGGATGGGAGGTGCCCAGGGCTCCTGCTGGGGAAGTGTTGCCAGTGGTCGCACCTCTGTATCCCTGGCTGGATATTGCATCCAGCCTGGGCCCGAGGCTCACTTTGCTCTTTAGCATGGTGGGGTTCTCTCAGCTCCTTCCCTACTACCCTACCCCACTCTCAGACCACTCTCTGGAGAGGAGGGGCCATGTCTAGTGAGGAATGCTCTGGCCTTTAGTCAAAGTCTGTTAGAGATGTGTCCCACAAGGTTGGGCAGTGACAGAGAGGTCTCAGGGGTGAGCCTGGCCCTTGCCTTTCCTTTCTTCAAACCCTCTTTTCTTGGGGTGAAGTTCAGCCTCACCTCCATGGCTCTGCCTGGCTCTCTGGCCTCGGCTCTCATGCTCTCTCTGGCTCCAGCCTCATGCAGGCTCTGATGGCTCTCAAGTTCCTGCTTCTCTCCAAGCCCTGGGCACATCATTCCCTCTACCAGCTCAGTCCTCCCCTCCTCACCTTGCTCCCTCCTGCTGGTCCCTTGAGTTTCAGTTAATTATTGCCTCCTTGTGGAAGCCCTCCCTGACTACCAACCCCCAGCCTGGCTTAGGATGCCAGTTCTGTAGCTTGCATGGTGCACTTATCCCCATCCTCTCTGCATCACACATTTGTCCTGCTTGTCTACCTGCTGGTCCTCCTGTCTCCCTCCTCCCAAATATGGGCTCCTGGAGGCCTGGGCTGGGTCATGCTCCTCTTTATGTTTCCAGCCTCCATCCTGGGCACATGGTAGATTATAATAGTCACTGAATGCATGAGTAAGAAGAGTAGGAAAAGACTCAACAGAGGAAGGCAGGGAGTCCATAGGGTCCCTGCCCATGTAAACACGTGAAAGAAGCCAACAGTATCCCCCATCACTCTGGGGCCCAGGGAGCTGGCTGCCCTGACTTGTACAAGCCACCTGGGGTTTTCCAGGCTCCAAGACTCCATCCTCACTTTGTGCCCAAGGAAAAGAACCTGCAGGAGAAGAGGGGTGGGAGGTGTGGGCCAGGAAGGCTCTGCAAGGCTGGGCTCTACAGCCCTGGGTCCCTTTGAGCCCAGGGGTGGAGTTCTCCCTTCTGCCTCCCCAGGCAGAGTCCCGCACCCTGCCGGAGCACTGGCACATTGGCGAGTGCAAGGAGAAGCAGTCATGGAAACACAGAGGGGGGACGCTGATTTTTAAGAAATCTCCACAGTTGGTCAGGCCAGGGGCAGATGGTTGCCTAAGAAAAGCCCCATCACCCCAGCCCCTGCTGGAACTTTTTTCCTGTCCCTCCTCCCAGCCGGCCCTGTCCCCAGAAGCCTCCAGAGCGTGCTGGCCCAGTACTCAGAACTGGGGTCCCTCTAACACGGAGGCTTCCCTACCTCGGAAAGTCACTTTGGCGATGCGGTCGCCCTTGCCCCGCAGCTCCAAGACTGTCTTGAGGTGGACGAACAGGGCCATGCTGGTGCGCAGAGCCCGGCACTGCCAGGGGTAGCAGCGGGAAGGAGCTAGCCGGTGGAGCACGGCTCACACGCCTCCCTCCTCTCTGCTGCTGCAGCCGCCTCCTCCTCGTCCTCCTCGTCCTCCTCCAAGGCCCCTCTGATGATGCTGCCCACAGAGACCAAGGCAACTGAGCGAGCTGCTCCTTCCAGCGACTCACAGCCCACAGCCCTGCCTGCCCCCGCCCCTCTTAGTTGTCAGCCCGTTGTGTGTGGATCTCTGTGTGTGTGTGGTGTGCACACAGTGTGCAGCCTGGGAGTGCAGGCTCAGTCGGGATTCATTATTCAGCAGCTGCCGGCTCCCAGATACAGCCCTGTCCAGCTTCAGGTGTCATCTCCCGGCTCCTGGGGTGGGGGCTCCAGGCCACCCCTCAGCAAGCTTTGTTCCAGGAATGGGCAGCACCCCCCCTCACATGGGGAGCCCAGCAAGAAGAAGGGAACATACTTGCTACCCCCTACCCCCAGAGCCTGTGTCCCTAAGAGGCTGGTCCTGAGCCTTGCCTTGGGATCACCATTTCTGAACATCAGGGGTGAGAGGAAGGCAAGCACCAGGCCATGCCTGAGAGGGACACCTGACTCAGGAGGAAGCAGAGGTTTATGTGCTACCAGGAGCCATGCTTAAGGATCAGGCACTAAGCTAGCCCCTGCTGGGGGCTGGGGACAAAGAAGGGGGCTGGGGGAGGTGAGATGGGCTGATGTTTGGTTTCCAGTGAGTGGAGCAGAATCTTGCTCTTATTGGCTGCTGGAGGTGGGAGAGGGATGTCCATGAAGGGTCATCTGGATCCCTTCTCTCTCCATTCACTCTTGGTGGAACGCCCCACCCCACCCCTGCCTTCTCCCTTGGACTCTGCTCAGTAAGTGCCTATTCCTGGGAGTGGGGGCCTCTGTACCTGCGCCAGGCTGCATTGGTGCTGCTCCTGCCCCTCTCATCTCACAGGGTCCTGGGATGCTCCACTTGCCTCTACCCCAGGCCCCTAACCCTGGGGAGACCCTGGAGCATAGCATTTCTGTATCCCAGAGGTAGCCTATACATAGTAGGACACCCATTAATGTTGACAGGACAAAAGGGTGAGCTCAGCGACCTATCTGAAACAGTCTAAAAGCTTAAACAGAGAAATATGAATTTTTCATAGCATGATAATAAAAGAGGTTATTCTTTAATTCTATAGTCTGAATAAGTCTGAATAACTAAGACCCTTCTTTCTTTCTCCTGGATATTTCCTACTACTCTGTCCTATTTTTCTATTGTATGCTCTTTTTCCTTCTCCCTCTGTCCTCCCCTAGTTCCCTGCTCACTATTCTTATATATATATCTAACTATATTAAAGAATATTTCAGAATATTGTATTTATTGAACACGAGTGAATAGCTACTTTTTTTTTTTAAAGTCAGATATGTTTAATGTCTCTTTAAAAAGAACCTAAATCATTAGCATTTTCCGTCCATGCAGCTATCAGGTGATCTGTGTTTGTAAGGCTTGGTAGCATTTGATAGGAAAAAAAATAATCCATCTTCTCCCTAGGCCTTCTAAAGGTTTTCCCTTGAAGGGGGTAGATTTCATGGGGCCTCTTACAGATCTGTGCCTCTTCAGGAAAAAGACCATGAATCTGCTCTGGCCAAGACACTGAGCTTTGCTGAACCTCAGTTTCCACATCTACCTATAAAACGGTAGCAATTCCACTGAGCAGGCCTCAGGTGAGTCAGCTGACCCTTCTGAAACCTAAACCAGATCCCACTTTTTAGCTTCTGTTCTCCTATCACTCACTTAAGTAACTTTTAGTATATATTTAATGCATGTTTATTGAATTCCTTCCAGTGCCAGATGCTGGGATTCAGAGATGACTACGACAGGTAGAGCACCAAGCCCCAAATGCAAGAGGCAGATGGACGAGAATGCAGCGAGTAGAGTGCAGGGCACAGGGCCCCAAGCAGAGCCACTGGGAAGCCTGGAGGGGCAGGGAGAGGTTGCTCAACCCCTTTCTGGGCTGGTGGTTCTTGGAAAGCCTTCCTGGAGTACGTCACCCCTGAACTGAGGGTTGCTCTTTTATCAACTTTCACTAATCTTCTTTTTTCTTTTCCTTTCTCTTCTCTTCCCTTCTCTTTATTCTTTTCTTTTTGAGACAGAGTCTCCCTCGGGTTGCCTGGCTAGAGTCCAGCGGCATCGTAGCTCACTGCAATCTCAAACTCTTAAGCTCAAATGATCCTGCCTTAGCCTACCGAGTAGCTGGGACTACAGGTGGCCACCTCCACAGTGGGCTAATTTTTCTATTTTCAGTAGAGACAGGGTCTTGCTCTTGCTCAGCTGGTCTCAAACTCATGAGTTCAAGCAATCTTTCCACTTCAATCCTTCCCAGAGTGCTAAGATTACAGGCAAGAGCCACCGTGCCTGGCCACTAATGTTTTTCTTATTGTAGCTCATGTTCCCCAAGGAGAATTTAGAAAAATACAGCATGACTGAATTCTGAAGGCTCAGCGGAGAATGGAATCTGCAACTACTCATTTACCTGCCCCTCCCTCCCCCACCACACCCCCCTTTCTGCTTCTTGCATCGCTGGGAAGCCTGTGGCTCCCTCCATTTCATTGTCATCTGTCAGAAAAGGTCTTTGGAGAATTCTAGTTGCAACTGCATCCTGTGAAGTCATTAGTGTCTGTGGTGTTCATCAGCTGCCGGCTGCTGTTTGCAGAGTCAAACTGTGAGGATAACACTTCTCTCCAGCTGACATCCAGGGAGGAATGGAGGGAAACTGCAGCGCCCTTTTACTGATACCAGCCTGCTGCAAAGGGCGCCAAGAGGAAGGATCTGGACCCAAGCCACAGAGAGCATGGCACTCTGGAACGTGTCCCCACCACCTCTCATCCCAATTAAAAACCTAAGTCCCTGCCCCCATCCTGCATGCTGCCTAAGATAGGGGTGAGGGTCACTGGAGACCCGGGATTTGGAAGCCCCAGTGTCATGTGGAGAGAGGCAGTGTTATACATCAGACCTCACCTGCGGGCCAGCGGGAGATTTGCTCCTTGTGGCTAATGCCATCCTTGCAATTTGAGGGCCAAAATGAACTGTGGAATTGGGGACACATGTAAATCACATGCCCGGACTTTTTCATGATTTGCTTTTTGTCCCTTACTTATGAAACTACTCTTGTAGGATAGTTTGAGGGGCAAGTTGAGGTGATAGGGAAGTTTCTAAGAAGAGGTCCATGGGGAAAATGAGCCTTATCCCAACACACAAACACTCAAGTGCACGCACGTGTGTGACACACACACACACTCACCCTCTCTCTCTCTCTCTTAAATTACAGGGTGTCCTTGGCAACCACATTGACTGAGGCTCATGGCAGGGACCCTTCCTGTAGTTGTGATTGAAATGGAGTAATGGTGGCAGCCTTGGAGAGAGCGAGCTCCTGGGGCCCCTGGGACCATGGGGATTCACTGGCCTTAGCTGTGATGGGACAGCTGCTTTCTGCATGGCCTCCAAAGCCAAGGCTCCACTCTGTCCAAGCCACAGAACTGACCCAGCCAGCCACACCACCTGGTTTCCAACTCTGCAGGGTGCCCCCCATTGGCATGCCCGCATTCTCTGTATGCTGCCCGCCTAGCATGATATCCAGGGTCACACGGGGGAGCATGGGGGCTGGGGGTGGGGGTGGGACAGCATCACTGAGCTCGCCTGGCTGGGCCTCTTCAGGGAGGGGACGGCCAAGCTGAGCCGGGGAACTTGAGGATGGGCCAGCTAGCGTTGCCAGGCGCGCGTTGCCGGGTGACCCGCAGGCTGTTTACCTCGGGGCAGGGAGCCGTGGCGCCCGCACTCTCGCCACACCCACCATGGCTTCTCGAAGCGCGGGCACCCTACTGAGCGAGTTCAATGCCACCTACGTGCCCCCCAGCCTCATGCCTGGGTAAGGCTGCGGTGCACCACCGAAACCTGACGGTCAGGGCCGGAGGCGGGGGTGGGAACTTGGGGTATAGCCACGCCCCCTGCACCCGCCCCCTTCTGTCGTCGAAGCTGCGCCCCAGGCTTGGGGGTTTATGCACTCTCAGGGCCGGCCATGGGTGCCCGCGGGGGCTGCGGGTTCCTTGAAGTTGGTCCCTGACGACCCGGAGCCAACCGGCCCGGGATAACGGGACCTCGCGTGAATGCAGCCGCCCGGGGGACGTAGAGCCACGTCGTGGGGTGCATACGGAGAATACGGGCAGCCTGCCTTCCCGTCCCAGCACCGAGCGTGCGGGCACCCAGGATTCGGGCAAGATTAGTATTTGTTGAATGAGGAAAGGGGACCGGTGGGCTCTTGCTCAGAGCGTCTGGCGAGGCAGGACTGGCTACAAGTTAATGGTTAAGAGTGTGCACTGCCCACCAACTTGGTGCTTGGACCTTTCTCTGGTCTCACTTTATCCTCCCTTGCTGTTGAAAGCATCCTGGCCGCTTGCCTGACTGACTGCCTTCCTTTTAGTGTTTTCAAATGCAGGGTCGCTCTTGTTTTCTCTGAATGTTTTCAAATGCGAGGTGCTCCTGCCTTTGTTTTCTCTGGATGTTTTCAAACTCCAGACATCTAAGATGCAAGTCTCCCGTTCCCTTCTATTCTTTGGCCCTTTCTCCTGACACGTCGGATGCTTCCACTCCCAACTTCTTCCAGGGGGAAAGTTGGCTTGTCTGTCCTCCCAGGCAGCATGGGCACCCCGGGCACAAACTGGGTTCTGAGAAGCAGCCTGCACATGTCAAGAATGTGTGCAGAGCTAATGAAGGTGGTGAGTGTCTTGAGAATCGTGTAGCCAGGTCTCCAAACTGAAAAACAAACACACACCCAAGCTCCTGCAAAGGGGACCGACTGAAAAATGAAGAAAAGACCTCACAGTATATTTTGTATAAAGCTTGGGTTGTTTTAAAGCAGTGTAAGCAAGATGCTAAGGAGCTTTCTATTAAAATAATTTCTGGACAGCACGCACGCAGAAATAGCCAGAGGTTGGTGCTATAGCTTTAATCCAGCCTATTTGTGAACAGGACCTTTCTCTGGGCCTTAGAGAGAGCTCAAACGCTACTTTGGTTTGTTCCCATCAGACAAAGCTGATTTACTAGATCATGGCAATTCCCTGAAGCCAAGGCAGGCATGTTAGAAAAAGTGACTTAGGACTTACCCAGTTTTTCATTCATTTAGACCAGTGAATTTCAACCATGGTGCCATGCCACACTAGTGTGCCATGAGAAGATCTTAGGTGTGCTGTGAAAAAATTTAAAGATCGTTAATTAAAGCATTTTCAAAAAGAAGTTCAAAGTGGCTCAGCACCTGTAGCTCAGAGGCTAGGGCATCAGCCACATACACTGGGGCTAGCAGGTTCGAATCCAGCCTGGGCCTGCCAAACAACAATGACAACTACAACAAAAAAATAGTTGGGCATAGTGGTGGGCACCTGTAGTCCCAGCTACTTTGGAGGCTGAAGCTAGAGAATCACTTAAGCCCAAGAGTTGGAGGTTGCTGTGAGCTGTGATGCCATGATACTATACTGGGGGGTGACATAGTGAGACTCTGCCTCAAAAAAAAAAGTTCAAAGCATAGTAAGTATATTCTTTTTGTTACTCTTTTTTTGTTTTTTCGATTTACATAATATGAGTATGTCATGGAAGTTTAACTATAGGTTCAAGAGTGCTGTGAGATAAAACAGGTTGAAAAATGCTGGATGCTAGGGAGACATAGACAAACCAGTGGGGGCTTCCCTGGAGGGGCTCCCAGACTGGTATAAACATATAAGGATTTGGTTTGATTCCATTTTAAGGCCTTGCACAGTGATGGTGACACCACACTCTGGGTACTTATCATGCAGTTTGGTTTCATACTTTGATATTTTTTCCTTAAGCCTCTCACAGTCTCCACTTGAGAACCTGTTGTGTTGTCTGACTCCTTGACTGTTTCCCACCTGTGGGGCAAGGCTAGGCGCTCCTGCAAACCCCATTTGGATGGGTCCCCCACTGTCTGGAAGGTGCCGGACCAATCCTAGGATGCTTTCCTCTCCAGGCCACTTCTGTGCAGTTCCCGAGAGCATCCTGTCCTTTTAGAAATGGTAATGACAAGAGGGCAGCGCCTGTGACTCAAAGGAGTAGGGCGCCAGCCCCATATACCAGAGGTGGCATGTTCAAACCCAGCCCCAGCCAAAAACTGCAAAAAAAAAAAAAAAAAAAGTCTAAATGGTAATGATGAGATCATGAATAAGGCTTCAGTCTGGGACTGGGCTAGTTTGAGCAGTCCAGTTTGTATCTGTGCTTTCCCATATGGATCCTTCTGGTGCTCTCCTTAAAGGTTCCCATCAACAAGAAATGAATTGATTCATTTTATGTCTCTAAATGCTACTTCTTTGGCAATTTTGTTAAGTTAATGAAAGAATCCAAGATTCCCCACCACTCTTGGATAATTATTATTTTTGTATGTCTTTTCAAACATTAATCACAGGATTTTAAAGCACAGCTAGTTTCTTCTGACATTTAAATCACCCCCCCCCCCTTACTAGCTTTATTCATAGAGGCAGAAAATATTCATGCTGGGAGGGACCTCAGAGCTTGTGGAGCCTAGCCTGCTCCTGTTCCAGACATGGTCACTGAAGTCTTGGGAGGACTTGTGTGAGCCCCACTCTGGAGATGATAGAGCTGGGCTGGACCCAGGTCCCTGATGCCTGTCATGAACCCCATGTATGAGTACCAACTCTGTGCCAGGTTCTGTGCTGGGCCTTTTACAAATCTTTTTTTTTTTTTTTTTTTTTTTTTGTAAATCATCACAATAGCCCACATGATAAGTGAGCAGCTGGCTCAAGGTCATTCAGCAAGTCAAGCTAACTCTATGTGACTTCAATATCCCTATATTTTGTATAAAGCTTGGGTTGTTTTAAAGCAGTGTAAGCAAGATGCTAAGGAGCTTTCTATTAAAATAATTTCTGGACAGCACGCACGCAG